TATTGAATTTATAGAGTTACTGTTCTTGGAGTTTGGAGGGGGCTGGGCTTCAACCACGGGTATGCTGCCATGTCAGTACCAGGAAAGTACTCTGTACCGGTTTGCCAGTTGTTTTAATGTGTCTCCTGTCACATGTAGCTTCTGTGTAAACTATAAGCATCTGTGCTGAGGCTCATGGTGTTGGCATGTTCCAAAGTTATAACGAATGCAAAAGGAGGAGTGTGCATGAATACCTAAAACAAGGTGGGCCCGAACAGACATGGGAACAATGACTTGGAGCTTTTAATGCTGGGCAGTGCAAAAGATAAAAGCAGCCAACGGTTGATTAAGTCTACTAGACTTCACTTATAACAGAAATCAATATCTTGGGAAACTGCCATTGACAACAAAAACTAAACAAAGTGACACTAAACGCAGGAGTTAAATATTGAAAATACATTTTAGTACCTTTAACTATTAACAAAAATGTATCTTATTTGTGTATAGCTCGGCTGTAGATCCTCAAATCATCTCTGAATTGGTGCTGACACTGTCCTTCCTTCTGGAGGGGGGCTACTTTTGTTCCCCATCGTGTCTGTTTGTTGTAAAGTAGCCACCGCTCCAAGCTCACTCCTGTGATGGACTATCATTTTAATGGAAATTAGTAAACTAAATGTAAGATTGTAGTTGATCACGGGAGCGAGCTTGGATCTTGAAGCAGTGGCTACTTTGCAACACACACAGGGACCATGGACAGTGTCAGCATGAATTCAGGGATGATTTGAGGATATACAGCTGAGTTTATACACAAAGTGGGTATATTTTGTTAATAGTTAAGGTACTAGAATGCATTTTTAAGATTTAACTCCTGAATTTAGTGTCACTTTAAAACTACATATGTATTATAATATAATATGTTGCTTTATATAGTTTCCATAAACATGTCAAAAAGCAAAGGTTGAGTATTAACTAATTATTTTATTGATGTATAATGAAGACATACTTTTATACTTGTTAATTACTATTTTTGTATTATTAACGACGCTTGTCACTGATTTGAGGAACTATTTATGGCACATGGAGGAGCACTTGTTATGGCATTTTAAATGTTAGCTGCCCCAGAACAACTGGTGTGTCATTGTGTTTGTATAACCTTGAGCCAGCACCTGTTAAAATGAATTAATTGAGGGGATTTGGAGGCAGCCATGCATGTCATTATGGCTCTCATGTGGATTGCCCTAAGATCTTTTTACTGATGCTGGTCATAGAGGTTGCACATCCATTGTAGGATTCACAAAGGAGGAGGAGGTTACTAGCAAATTGATGTTTGTTCACTTAAGAGGCACCATTTTGGAGTGATTGTAAATGAGCGCTTAAACTGTAGTATCCCCAGTGAGTGGTATGAGTGTAGTAAAGACGGTGAAAAATTAGAAACTATCTGATGGGTTAGCTGCAAATTGAGTTCAGATATAGTTTGTGATCTCTTTTATATATATTTTTTTATTTTTTTTCACAGCAACATGCTTATCATTTATGTGACTGTATCCTGCCACCTTACTGCTAGATGTCCACTTCTCCTTTTTCCTTCAACTTTTTCAAGCATAATTGTATTTTTTAGGCCTTGTTCACACCAAGCGCGTTCCAGGAGCAGAGCAGTTACAGACTGGAGCAAAACTGCACCCGATGTATTCCAATTATATTTTTAGCTCCAGTTCACATCGCAGTGTTCCGTTCCAGAGCAGGTAAAAAAACTGCAGCAGGCCCTATTTTACCTGCTCTGGAACGCATGCAAACACATAAAAAAACGCATGCAAATGCCCTGAAACGCACTGAAAGACCATTTTAAACTAAAAAAAAAAGAATAATTTTTAAACCAAAAACGGCCCGGAACGCATCAAAAACGCGGCACAACCCACTGCGTGTGCAGAAACTCATGCAGATCTGCTCTGTATTTCGTGTGGACAAGGCCTAAGTGAGCTGGTTCTTACAATTCTTCTCAGTCTTCTTTATATCTGGACCTCATCATCTTTATTTTTTTGGTTGGCTGACTAAAGTTTGTCATTATCAGTCTTACATGGGTAACATTTTATAGTATTATAGCTTGCACATTTGAAAGCTGTTTTGTAACATTTATGAATAAGACATTTGTTTGATTTTTTTTTTAAACTATCAGTGCAGAAAGTTTGGAGTTTAGGTAATGCCCTTTACTGGCTAACTTATTAGGCCTGGTTAACGCCTGAGCAGTTTTACGTGCGGATCTATGCGCACGAAAACACACATTTACATCCAAGTCAATGGCAACTTAACGTTAGCATTGCGTCACGCGAAAAGATGCAGGCGCTATTTTTAGGCGGATCCCATGCTGTTTTTGTCTCATAGAATTGTATTGAAATTGTGTGCGTACATGTGCATGTGCGTTTTTATTAGCGATAACTGCGAGGTTTACACAACATGACGATAGGACCTCCCCCTTTCACACAAAACACTGGGATCAAGAGGACTCAAACTGAACCACATGTCTAATAAGGACTTCATTAGACTGGTCCAGGCCCAGGTCTGAGGCATGCAAACTGCAAGGGCAGTCACAGGAGTGCCTGGTGGACCATTGGTTCACAAACATGGAGCATAGTTGTGACTACGGTTGCCATGGCACGCCAAGTAGAGGGATCCATACAATGCAACACTGTCTTGTAAGAAACACTCTCCTCAAAAACAGGAAACAGGAACTTAGGTCATGGCTCGTTCTGCTTCTCATTGGATGCCTGTACATCTCTATGCAGGGAGAAATGTGCATCAATGCACATTTTTAAAAGCAAAATCGTGCCCAAAAAAAAAACATGCAAAAATCTGCCAAAACTGCAAATGCCTAAGTGTGAACCTAGCCTTAGAAATGTAAACTCTCAGGATCCCTTAGATCCCTTCTTCAGGCTATATGCAATATATACAATTCTCAAAATTGCATAAAGTCATACCCATTATTGACTAACTTCTCTCCACACTTTTTGCATTAATCGATGGCTAACACATTACAATACTCCATTACGACTAAACTATTAGTGAAAGTTGGCAATACACATAAAATAAGACTGCCCAGTATGTCTTGTCCTGTGTCAGCTTGACTTTTAGCAGAATAGGCCAAGGCGGTCAGTGAACATTCTGAGCCCAAGCTAGGAGCAATTGTGTTTGGTCTCATGTAGAATCCAGTATGTTCAATATATGCTTGTGTATCTGTCAGCCTAGAATGTCCTCAGAGTCCGGTTTATTTTTTTCATTTTGCGGACAAGGTGTAAATGCCTTTTAGAGTCTGTATGCTTGCTGTGGGTCATGGTACCTCTTTATTCCCCAGTTATCATAATATCTCCCCAAGTGTATTACAAATAATGTGGACCACACAATGATCAATTACGGCAACATTCAAATCACAAAGGAGTATAACAGGTTTGACAGGCAGCATCTTGTAATATGCTCAACAGTTCATTGTACAGAATGCAGCTTGCTCACTATAGCTATGATATTATTACATTATTCAGGGATTAGGCATCTCTCATCATATCACAATATCCAACTGCCTCGAGCAATGGTGTCCTGTACATGAGAAGAAATAGGGTAAATTAGAGGAGTGCGGGTGGCAGCAGTAATCTCGTAAATGTTCTGGAAATCATGTTCAGTCACATGGAAGCTCTATCCTTACCTCGAAACACAGCTCCAGGCTGTTGGCATCTGTACATCTCTGCTGCAGTCCTGATTTCTTCAAGCCCTTCTTAGGCAATGCATCAAATTACTCTTTCTTTGTATAGCTGTAACTGCAGAACACCAAGACTTGGTATTATCACCGCAGTCAATTAATTGGCAGAGGATGACTTCCATTGTTACTGGCCAGCTGCAAGACAACACAGAGAAAGGAGGAACCCTGCAATTAAAAGATGGTGATTTCCTGTTAGGGCCAGGTGATTTTTAAATGCATGTATAATCTCTCTTAAAATGCTGCCGCTCTGTTCTGGAAATGTATTCAAATTGATGACTCCATGCCTCAGAGACAATGGATACGTACCGTTTTATGTCACAACATGGCTAACTAAGATGTGGAATTAATAGGCTGCATTCTCATGAATATTGGTTCACCTTCTCCTGTCACATATATTCTGCTGCCTGCAGTATTGATTTCAGAAGGCAGACAAGAGCGCTGTGTGCTACAACTACAAATCACAGGAAGCTAATTTGGAATTCCCTTGAACTGCTTACAATATAGAGAGATCAACAGTGACATCTTACAGCAGTTATTTCCTTGATAATCCGACAGAAGCAAATAGGACTATATCACTAAGTATTTAAGATATTAGAGATCCCAGTAGGTATCAGTCAGTCAATGGGATTTGTGTAAAACTGGAGACAAGGGAAAGTGAAGGTGCTTCTTTTAATTGTTGACCTTCTTATCTAGGCTTGGTGGTAGTGTACCATGCATGTGTTGCAGTGCAATCCATTTTGAATGCCACACCAATGCACCAAAGCAATGTACCTGTGTTACAGTGCCCTGCAGTGTTACTCACTACCGTGCATTGTGCTGTAATGCATTACCATGGAAGGGTCATGTCCAGTCCATATATATGTATTTCAATTCATTAAATCTAGTGATTTTTGGGGTGATGGGGGGCCCTCTCAGAGCCCTCAGTGTTTGTCTTTTCTCATGAACTGATTGATCAATGTATTGTTCCTGTTGCTATTTTGTGCCCAGATCAAATGGCTTATCATTTTCTTTGCTGTATATTGGCTGTTTTGATGATCCAAATTCAAGATCCTAATTGTGTTTCTGGCCAACTGGTTGTACATATGGGATGTGATCTTCACTTTGTTATATTAGTTGTGGGTGAGTTCAGTTGTTTCGTAAAGGAGATTAGACACAATGAAGAACCTTTTTATGTAAATATTGTACACAGATTCTATGTACAATGCTTTTCTATATACCAGGTAAAATGTGCACTGTGCATATAGAAGATTATCTTCATCTCTTTTTATCTTTAAAGATTTCGTCACAGTCCAAACTGCTGGTACTTGAGAGATTGGACAATACATGGATGGATCAGAAAATGTCTTAAGTATGGTGCCCCAGAAAAGGCTTTATATACTTTGCAGAACAAGGTAAGACTTTTCTCATACCACTTCCATGAAGCAGAAAGTAGTAAACTGTATAACTATGCTGAATACTAAAGCTGAGTGATTAGACTAAACTGTCGCTGTTTTTAAAAACCGTGTGATCTGTGATTTCACTGTATAATTTACACTAACTTCTGAACGTTCCAGGTTATTGCAACAAAACACTTTCTTTTTCTAGCAAATGGAGAAAGTTAAGAACCTCTGTCAGGTTATTATTTCTGTCTTTCTTCCTATCCCAGTGACTACTGCTACCCTTCATCTCTTGTCATGCTATCAAAGGTTGTCACAGAGGAAGTGAGTTTCAATCTCCCCAACCGGGTTATGCACAGCAATAAAAACCTGACATAGGTGTTTACTCATCTGAAGTCTATTAAAAACTAGAAAATGTCCTCTAATGTGTTCGTTTACTGACAGCGTTGCTCAATGAAATGTTATGAGGAAGTGTATATTCCATGTAATATTGCCTGCAGCAGTACCAATCAGAACCAAATAAATTGAAGAGTATGGATAGATTTAAAGCCCAACTCCAGTTTTTCTTTTTTATCCATTGCCAAGCTCTTCTTCTAAAAAAAATTGAAAAGGCAGCTTTCTCTGGCGCTGTCTCCAGCATGCCTACTATCTTCTTTCCAGCCTGGTGTTTAGGGTTGATTACACCAGTGCCATTACACCACTTGCTGTATGAGCACAGGGCATCAAGGACACAAACCTGGGGCATGCCGCCATGAGTTCACATGAGAATGCTACAGGGGATAGGGCACATTGGAAAGAGGTTCAGGTCTGACCCAATGTTGGGTTCATCCCAAACTTTCCCTCACATAGTTATGAACCAGCCGAACTATTTGACTTGCTTGCCAGCCCCAACTACCACCAATTATTGAAAACTTCCTGCTGTCCAGGGTGCGCAGCATCATTGGTTCACTAAGAAGCCGACAGCTACAGTCATTTTGGCAACCACTATCCTGATGTCTTTTGGCTTATAAATAAGAGAGACATCATTGACCAACTATTGTTCTCTATGCAAAATGGCTCCGACATGTGCTTTTGGCCATTCTGCACCTTTAAATGTGACTGTGAAGAAATGACCTAGAAAATGGCCACATACCAATAGCACATACACATAAAAAGTGTTTAAAAGTTGTCTAGCCAACTGCCGAAGTCTGTATAGTGATTTTTTTCCATCCCTGTTGATCTGGTTATATCACTGTATGCCTCCATATTACGGTAGAACCGATTTAGACAGTCCTGTAACTTTGTGTCATTCACACAGGTACAATATGGAATATTCCCAAATGATTTCACGTTTAACCTATTACTTGATACATTCATAAAGAAAGAAAACTTTAACGGTATGGCTTCTACCTTTCTATAAGAGTAACACTGTATTTATTTACACTGTATGAATGTTACATAATGAGCACGGGGATAAAAACAGATAAGTGTTGTATTGTGGTTTAAAGGAGAAAATGTATTGACAATGAAAATTACACAATGCATAAAAATGAATGATCCAGCAAATCCCTGTTATGGGGAAAGTGGCAAAATTCTCCAAAGTATACAGTGTTTCTGGAACTTTAAAGATCGAGTGCACTTTTAGACAAAGTTCACCTATTCTTTCTACCCCTCACCCTTCACTTAAAGGATCCCACCATTGACCTCCACAGAGCTATACTTACCGAGATCAGAGGGCAGCTGCTTCACTGTTGCTTCACATCCTGTGCTGCAAGTCTCTCTTTCCTGGCTGTAACCGTCTCCCTACTGTCCGTGGGGCTGTATTGTGCAGTTGGGACCAACAAACAGAGGATTGCAACACTGGATGTAAACTGAACTGTGCCCATCAGATCTTGGTAAGAATGAATCTGCAGAGGGATTATTTAGGTCAGGGACTTTGTTTTAAAGTGCAGTTATCCTTTAAACAGCTGAATCTGGGATGCCCTCACATGTAAGTACTGAACAGGTTTTTACACAATATGCAAATGTGTTGTACCTCTGCTACGCCATACTGGAAACTTGTAAATTGAATGAATATATATGACACTGCACTCAGCAGGAGCAGTTATATCTTATTTATCATTACCTTGCAATGCAAAACAGCAGAATAGGAAGCTGATATATGAAAACTACAATGACATTGTCCATTCCTAGCTATGTGTTTTCTAGAGGAGGTTGAAAATTGAAAACTTCTAATATGTTGCTGTGCATGGCATCCTTATTAAGCCATTAACCTTCAATGAAATGTTTAGTCATAAACACACAAGGGCCGACTTAGAAGCCTACCAGTTTGTTTTGAATTATAACTAACAAGGACAAATAAATATAGGCCGCAGAGGCCAGCAAGTACATGGCAATTTGTTTGTTGAATATTATACTGAATATAAGCCCCCTGTGTGTGGGGAAAATAGTTCTGTCATCTGGTAATATAACTGTGACATACCCTGCCCAAGTGATGCCAATTGTTAATTGAAATTTGCCCAAGGCCATATATATCATGGACTGCCGAGACTGTGATCTGAAGAATAAAAATATGTGCAAAGGACCGGTCCACTCTTCTGCTTGTATATAAGTGTTTTGTGTCCTCTTTTCTACAGATGCTGTCTCTGTAGTGACTGAAATCATGCTGCAAGAGAGCTTTGATAATGTCTCCACCCAGCTCCTGTCCCTCTATGCATTACATAAATATCTCTCTGGAAATCCACAGCTGACGGTAATCCCATATCTTGGCAGATAAGCTTATGTAGCCCTTTTTTGACATGTTTCGTTTTCTACTAATTATAAAGAAGAAAGTTAGTTTTTCATAGTATGGTTTGCTTTTTCCTCATGTGTAGTCATTGGTGGAAAGAGCTACCAAACAGCACTTGAGCAAGACACACCACCCGTGCAGTTACTGGCCCAGTAAAAACAAAAATGTGTATTTATAAAAAAAAGAGTTGCAGAGCTAATAAACCTGTGACACTTTATCTACATTTGTTCTGTGTGAATGGGGCAAAACCAAATGCTTATAGACTATTTTCTTTACTGGTGAAATGTTATTCATTTATAGAGGGAATCAGGAAAATGCCTCATTATGGCCACTAGATGAAGCATCATACCTATATGTTTTACTTTACAGAAACGGTCTATGATTAGCACAGGACAATACATTCATTTTAGTTCCATAGTGTTGAATTTGTTAAAGTGACACTAAACTCAGGAGGTGAATCTCAAAAATGCATTCAAGTACCTTCACTATTAATAAAATGTATCACTCAGCTGTAGATCCTCAAATCATCGCTGAATTGGTGCTGACGCTGTCCTTACTTCTGGAGGTGGCTACTTTTGTTCTCCTTGTTCCCTGTGTGTGTTGTAAAGTAGACACCACTCCAAGATCACTCCTGTGATTGACTACAATCTCACGTTTAGTTAGCTAATTTGTATAGACATTTCACTAAATAATCCTTATAGAAAATGTGGGATGCTTCTGTCTTTTCTGACCTATAACTGTGTAATCCAAGAACCATGCTGGTAGACATTTTTTTATTCTCTGGGACAGTGGTTCTCATCCAGTTTGTCTTGAATTATAACCGACAAGGACGAATAAATATAGGCCGCAGAGGCCAGCAAGTACAACCTCGGGACCCACATTTGTCCTCGGTCATTAAGTCGCGACCCAAGTTTTCCTGCAATGGAACGCGCAGCATTGTGGTACTGCGTTTCCAGAGCAGGTGATCGAACTTTGGGTGGGAGGTGAATTTAGGGTGCCATTCAAGTGAATGGCAATACAACGCACCTCCCACACCAGAACTTACGGTAGGTGCGATTGCATGGTACAGTGCGTTAATCGCATGGGACTGTGCGATTAACGCACTGTACTAGTGTGAACGGGCCCTCAAAAACACTTGACAGACACACACAGTCACGTACACACTTTTTTTTTAAAGTCCATCCCGTCTCCCTACCTTACGAAAGCTGGAGTGGATCCTCAACCTGGGGTCCAGTGTGGGCTGCTGTGCTGTGATGGAGCTCCATCCATATGTGCATTTTTTGTACAGCTCCCATGCATGCCCGTGGAGGTGGCGGGAGCCAGAATGTGATCTCACTCCAGGGTATGCAAGGGAGCTGTAAGCAATGCACGTATGGATTGCGCTCCCTCGCGCCCATTGCCCCAGTTCATCCCACCTCAAGTCGACACTCGGCATCGGGCAGCATATTTTGAATGGCTGCTCAGTGCGAGAACTGACAGTGCTGCGCTAGGGGGAGGCTGAGGAGCCTCTCGCCAAGAAAAGTGGAAGGCATGTGGTGACCCACTGGACACGGCGTCGCAACCCACTTATGGCTCACGACCCACCAGTTGAGAACCAAGGCTCTAGGATGAACAGATCCCCAGAACCTGTAAGCCAGTGTGTCTAATAACAATGCAGAATGCAGTTTCCTGTTTTGTTTTTTTATTTTCAATGGAAGTAAATTGTTTTTCAGTTAAGGCGCCCATACACCTTACGATTATCGGACAATAATCGTATGCGATCGACTTTTCGTCCGATAATCGTATGTGATCATTGCAGTGTCCGACCGACAATACTGTACAATCGTACGACTTTTGACGGTCAAGCATGTTTGAAAACTTTGCTAGATCGTACGATTGTCGTAAGGTTGCTGGCGTTTCCGTCCTTCAAAAGTCGTACGATGTACACTGCGCTTGCGCTAACGAAAATACGGCAAATCAATTATCGCATTTCGTCCAGGTGCTTTTGGTTAATTACGGCTAAATGATTCTTGCGATCATCGGGGCAGGATGGGGCTGTCGTACGAAAATCGTACGACTATTCGATCATCGGACGAAAAGTTTCGTCCGATAATCGTAAGGTGTATGGGCACCTTTAAAGAGAATGCATTGTATATTTAAATCTATTTAGATACACATGTGAATGTGATCAGCTTAATGAAAGTATCTCCATCAGTGCAAGGCCAATTAATTGAAACTCAAGATATTGACTCATTTAAAATACAATATAATTTCCATCTCAAAGCACTTGCGGCCTTGCAGATTGTGCTACTTGGCTAATAAATTCTATTTTAATATGTCCACTGCTTACTATTATAATTTTTCAGTTTTTGTATTTGAATTACTTCATGCTTTGTGTCTGTTTATTTAGTGGGTGTTAGAGAAGAACCTTGGGGCCTCACTGCTGCTGGCAGGCATGCATCAAGAGAACACAATGGGGTACAGTTCACAGCTGTATGGAAACGCATTGCTTGGTAAGTTTTATATATGCGTTGTTCTGTTTACTGCAGAGCACAGGGCAGCTTAACCAGTTGACATCCGCGGTGTTAAACCCCCTTCCCATCCAGGCCATTTTTCAGTATTCAGCGCTGCGACATTTTGTAGAGGCAGCAAAGAAAGCATCACTTCTATAAATGATGGATATCAGAGGGCAGTTGGACATACAGGCACAATCTGACTGACTTCAGGTACTCCAGTCAACCGGCAGGTATATAAACAGGAACATTTGGTCTAGTCAGAAATTGCTAGGTAAGGAACCTGGAAGAACAGCTGTGATCAGGAAATTGGTTGTAAAACCTAATTTGATTCTCTCCCCACACAGCGGCCAGGGGCATGAGGTTTGTCTGATCATGTGGAAAACAGCCAGATTATGTGACTGTCATCTCATGTCTACGAGTAGACTTAATTGGTAACCTCAAATGTCCAAGTATCCTATTGCAGCTCCTGACCTGAAAATGCCCATGCAGCAGGGCGGGTGCAGCAGCAACAATGGATGCCTCCGTCAAAAACGTACAAAATAATAAAGCCACCAGCACTCCAAGTGTTCAAGTCAATGGGTCGATAAACTTAAGTGAAAACACCTCTAGCTTCACTGTATGTGGCGACAAGCGTCCCCTGGATACCTGGCAACACAGCGATCATCTGACTTGACATACCCATACCCATTGGTTGATGGACTGTGCAATGACAATATGGAATATGCGTGCGCCGGAAGTATGCTGCGCGTGCGCACCTGTCGAGCCTGTCCCCACACGAGGGTTTGAATGGAGCGAACGGCAATCAGTGGATGGCACTTCCTGTTTCCCACTGATCTGCACTTACAAGTCGGATCATGTGTTTGCAGGGATCCCAGGGGAGTGGTCACATCACAGTCTTGGTTGATCCGTTAGAGGTATGTTTCATTACTGGTGATTACTACAACACTATATAGCTGATTATTCCTGTTCATTAGAGGTGGGAGAATGACACCTTCATGACGTCATGTGTGGGTGGGGGAGCTTTTTGATTGATGGAAGGGTCGTTATCAATGTGTATTTAAAAACTTGTATTGTATTGTTGCTTCACTCTCTGTTTGCCTGGGGAATGGGCCGCATAGTCCCGAAACATTGCTAGAGGTGTTTTCACTTGGGTCAATAAATTTATTGACTTGAATACTTGGAGTGCTGGTGACTTTATTATTTTGTACGTTAATTGGTAACCTGACTTACCTTTTACTTATGCTGCTAGATACTGTCCATTCTTTGACTGCAGGGATTGCAAAAGTTCTGTTTTTTTAGATTAATTATTAGATTTATTTATCAACAGTATATATTATAAAAATGTGTATATGTATGTTCCATTGCGCTAAATTATAGACTTGAAAAAATACCATTGTGATAAAAAAAGGAGTTTTCTTTTTTAAATGATCAGATACATCAACATACCAGGCAGTGCTGACCGGCAAATGGGCTCTTAGCAGCAGAAGAGACTGCACAACCAGATGATGCACAAAATAATGTATAAGGCTACATCCACATGGGGCAGCTGGGGATTCCCAGTGGAAAGTAGTCACTAGCACTCCAGCATGTGTAATAGTCAATATTTATTGACTTCGATATGTCACATCATCATAGGCGACTTTTCGGAACCACAAGGTCCCTTCCTCAGGCAAAACAAAGAGTGAACATAAAGACAAACGTGCAAATTATATACAAGTCAGTGAAAATCAAAAAGTGATGCACTCCCCTTCTGACGCCATATTGACATCATCTTCCCGCCATTATACCTGTTATACACACAAATCCTATATAGATGACTCCTCATTATATGCCCACTTGGTAGATGGTACCTGGAGCTGAATGCTGCAAATGCAACTGTGGATCTCCCCAGTGATGTCCGTACTCCTAGAGAGGATCATGTTGTGTCCACGTTGCGCCGGGAAAAGCCCCGCCTCACACACATTTCACTGTGCAGAGATAGGCAGGCATCCTTGGTGTCATGGAGACCGGGCAGGGGGGGATGACGCCATCACGTCCACACACTTTAATGTGTGGGGAGGAGCGTACATCTACTATACCCCTGTGCTCTGATCACGCCGGTACGTGCACCACGGAAAGCTCCATGGAATGGGGATTCCTGTGACAAGAACCTACAATCCGTGCAGAAGGAATCCTAGGTGTGTCCGTACAGATGCAACCACTGTGCCCTTTTAACTTAATGACTGGCTGAGAGAGGCCACATCTGTCAGCGACAGTCCACATGTAATCATTCATGGAGTGATTGCCTCATTTCAGGATGGAGGATTGTCCCCGGACATAATCTGTCTGTGTCCATGGTCAATCATCTGTCCTGAGCCATAGGTAATCATATTATGTACAGTTACATGACAGGGTCGCATCCGTACAGACACACCTGGGATTCCTGGCACGAGAATCTGTAGGTTTTTACTACTGGATTCCTCAAAGCTATGTGGGAATGGGGCCTTAAACATATTTTGCCACATAAAGGATAGTTGTACCTTTAATCCAAGTCACGCAATAGGTAGATGCAGGCTGCCTAGTTGAGTAGATCTAAAATCCTCTGTGCCTGCTCAATATGACCACTGCAGTCTAATGTACAGCTGCCCAAATCTACAGCTACCCTTAGCCTTCTATCAGTGAGTTCAGGCTGGATGATGTGGACAAGTAGAAGGGTCTGTCCCATGCTGGAATATAATGAGAATAATGCCCAGAGTGTGGAAGACCCTTTCTCGTGTGCATCCTCAAACAAAAAACCTGGAATTACTGATGAAATCAGTGCTAACAGTTGACTGTAGGTTGCTAGCTGCAGGATGCAGTGTCATGTTAAAGTGGCACAGAGGTCGGTATCTTTATCTAACAAGGGAGCCCATAGCTACCTGTTGCATGTTTTTTTATTAAAGTTACAGCTGCCCTTTAAAGAGACACTAAACTCAGGAGCTAAATCTTAAAAATGCATTCAAGTACCCTAACTATTAACTATACTGTGCCTCTCGTTCCCATGATGGACTACAATATTATGTTTAGTTTACTCATTTGTATTGAGATTGTAGTCCATCACTGGAGCGAGCTTGAAGAGGTGACTACTTTACAACACACACAGGGACCATGGGGAACAAAAGTAGCCACCCTCCAGAAGGAAGGAGATTGTCCGCACCAATTCAGAGATGATTTGAGGATCTACAGCCGAGTGATACACAAATAAGGTACAGTATAGTTAATAGTTAAGGTGCTTGAATGCATTTTAAAGATTTAACTCCTGAGTTTAGTGTCATTTTAAAGTAAGGTAACACAAAACATGGTTACATCCCCACCCCCAACACTTACCTGAATTGGTAGGTTCTTCTCCCCGCAGGCTGTTGTCTTCTTTTAAACTCAGGATCTGTGAATGGCATTTGCCACTGTGGCAGAGGGACGTATAGCTCTCAGTGGATTACAAGTGCCGTGGGGTCACTGCACCTGTAGTCCATTCATAGTTCCTCATATCTCTTGGCTTAAAGTCTGTACCTTGGTACGGACAGGGGCTGGGAGGAAAAATCTGCAGTAGTCAAAGCGTTGCACCCACAATCCACTGATCACAGTTGTTTTCCTTTGCAGGCTTAAATGCAAAAAAATAATAAATGCAAATTTTCTCTCCCGTTCATTGAAGGACACAGGGCAACAGATCGGAGATCCTGAAAGGTAGGGTATATCGCCACCTGCAGGAGTAGGACGCTAGGCACATAACAAAAAAAGACTTAGACAGCCTAGGGGCGGCCCCTGCTGGTGGCCCAACCCCCCACCTGCTGACAAGTCTCCAGTTTTTTTTGCCTAGCGTCAGGAGTAAGGAGCTACAAAATTTTCTCTCTGGAAATTTTCTTTTCCTTCTTCCGTTTTTTTTGTGTGATCTGCTAGCAAGTGTCACCAGGGCGACGTGCTGGATGGTGATGGATCCTGGTAGTCTCCCCTGGGTGGCCATCGAGCGCATGCAGGCTCTGCCTTGGCGGGTCGGCTGCGACTTCACTCCCCGGGGTGCACATGACAGGGGGTCCCGGCCCACCTGTCACAGCACTTCCATGGCCTGGCGACGCCGCGTCTGCGGGCGGGGGCGTCCGCCTTCTTTCACTCCAAGGCGTATGCCATTAGGGGGCGGGAGCCCCCTTTTCCTGTCACTGCCCATTCTACTATGGCTGTTGGCGCATCCTGGGCTTTTCGCCATGGTGCGTCTGTTTCTCAGGTTTGCAAGGCCGCTACTTGGTCTTCCGTTCACACCTTTGTCAAATTTTACAAGGTGGATGTTTTGGCATCGGCGGATGCTGGTTTGGGGCGGAAGGTTTTGCAGGCGGCCCTTTGCGTGGTTCTTTTTTGGGTTTCGTTGTTGTTTAGCCCATCCCTCATTGGTTACTGCTTGGTGACGTCCCTACCTTTCAGGATCTCCGATCTGTTGCCCTGTGTCCTTCAATGAACGGGAGAGAAAATAGGATTTTTGTACTCACCGTAAAATCCTTTTCTCTCCGTTCATTGAAGGACACAGGTCCCGCCCTCTTTCTCTGGGTATGCACTCCTAACTGCTTGTTACTAACTGGAGACTTGTCAGCAGGTGGGGGGTTGGGCCACCAGCAGGGGCCGCCCCTAGGCTGTCTAAGTCTTTTTTTGTTATGTGCCTAGCGTCCTACTCCTGCAGGTGGCGATATACCCTACCTTTCAGGATCTCCGATCTGTTGCCCTGTGTCCTTCAATGAACGGAGAGAAAAGGATTTTACGGTGAGTACAAAAATCCTATTTTTTCTTTAATGTGTGTGCATTTATCATCATCATTTATTAATATTATTAACATTTTTTTTGCAAAAAGCTGGACTATGCTTTAGGGGCCACACATAATAGTGTATATATATATAATACTACAGAAGACTGTCACAGACAGCATACATATTACAGAGGATCTTCAGAGACAGGGATAATGCCAAAGGAGTGATTAGAGACTGATGATATGCTGCAGGAGATAGATGCTGTGACAGAGCACTGTCATTACAGCCCCTTTACAAATCTTTTACCATTTGCTCGAATACAAAAAGCACACAAGTACCAAAGGTATACATGCAGCAGGTTGGGTACCAGTGCTTAATACACACAGTTAAATGTATACAGTGTCCTTTTATAAAGTAAAATTTCAGTGTTGCTTATTCCCAATTATTCCTTTGCTTAAAGAAGAACTCCCCCAGCACTGCAAGGGTAAAGTGCTTGTTTGTGTCAACAAAGATAACAGTTATACTCACCCTAAGCTCCCAGCCAGCCTACTGTCACATTGCTCCCTCCAGCTTGTCTCCTCCTCCACAGCAGCATTGGAATCTTCCTCAGCGTCCTCACGTCTATACACTCTGCTTAGACGTGATGATTTACGGGACCGTAGACCACTGCAGAGGAGAGGGAGAGACGCTGGAAGGGACCGGTCTAAGAAGCCAGCTCAGAGCTTTGGGTGAGTATAACTATTTTGTCCTAGACACAAACTAGCACTTAACCCTTGCAGTGCAGGGGTAGCCCTATTGGAAGGGTTCTTCTTTAATTTTTTACCCAGCACAATGATAGCTGATCTTACATACACTGTATTTTAGTCAGTAAACCCGTGCAAAGGGTAACAACAATCTGTAACTAGTACAAAGAGTGGTAACAAAGCAGACTTTAGTTTACTGCTGTCCAACCACTCACAATTGAACTGTTTTTTATAGATGAATTCCCTTTGCATATGGTGGCTTGCCTTATTGGAACGGCCTTTTTTATGTACATGAGACTGTATTAGAGTTATGGCATGCGAGCAAGAATCATATCTCCCATCGGGAAATGTCTGTCCCTTTGAAGAGCTCAGCGTATTCTAGTAAATAATAGCCTAGTTTAGCCGGTTACAACAGCAAATATAAAGCAAAAGAATTTTAGTCCGCACAGGGCTTTGTTATCGATGGGACATTTAATTCAGCTTCTGCTGTGTCACAGCCAGTCACTGTGCAGAGAAGAGAGAGCTTTGGCATCTGATGCATTCACATCATATTACATTGACAGTGTCTGAACCCTGTAGCCTATGCTGTCAGGTCTTGCTTCCTGCTATCTTGGAAAATCTAATTGAACAGACTTGTCCAGTAGAGGCCCCGGGCCTGGTCTGCCACATACGACTAAATATAGTCTAACAGATGAGCAGCGTCTGTGAACTTTGCAACTGATCTTTTACCCTCCGTGTCTCGGATGCCATTTTGGAATCGGAAAGATGCAGCCAATCCCGTCTGCTTTCCGACGGATCTTATTGCACCGCGCCGCAGAATGTTCCCTAGACAGAGGCATTCTGTTGCCAAAGGGAAAAATAATATTTTTGTGGGACGAATGAAGGTGATAATTGCTCTGGAGAGCTGTACTCGGGACGCCTCATAATGAATACTGCAGCAGCTGCTTCTTCTGAAGATAAGATTATCCCCTGCAAGATGTGTATTTATTTTGTATTAAAGCCAATGCTGAAAGTTCATGTTTCTGCTCTCGCTTGGCAGCATATAATTATGCTGGTTTTGTTTGTCTGCAAAAAAAAGCCAAATACAGCTCGGAATATATAACGTTTTAATTAAAAGTGTCTAAAGCTTGGAAAATAAGACAGGAAACTAATTTTGCTGGGGTTTTTTTTTTACTGGAGTGGGCTAATTCTGTTGAATTAAGGTATTTTAAATACGGCACTCGGCTTAAAGTGCTGGGGATGTGAGCTGCTGATCCATAGCGAATTTATTTAATACTTCATAGGTACTGTTATTGCTGGAACTGGGAATAAAAATATTCCCTTCATTGGGAGTAGAATTTTGTTTGCATATATGCTAGTGAAAATGTCAACTTTGTACAAAATGTTAATTATTGACCTTTTCCCTTTTATAACATCCATCATCCCCAGTTGGGAGACCCAAAGAATGTGGAACTCCACACCTAAGTACACAGTAAATGACATATGCGTGAGCTGTTTTACCTAACAAAGAAATTTGTAGCTCAGTTCTGTTGGTTTAGTTTAGGATTTACTTGGCGTCTTAGGAGTCACCATTCCACACTGCACAGCCATGTAGGTAACACCCCATTTCTTGGTTCAGCGTTAGGGCCCGTTCGTGCATAAGCGTTGCGTTAAATCTCACGATACTGTGCCATTAACACACGCTGTCTCACAGCGCACCTAAGTGTGTGTTACCTTGTGGTAGGTACCTTCATTTGAATGGCACCCTATCTTCTGGCTGCTTTGTGTTGGATACCATGCAGTTATGGCACTCTATAGCACAGCGCAACTGGCATGTGTTACATGTGCTAGGTGTGATGCATTGTAAATTAATTTGAATGGCACCCTACAACCTGCTGGTGGATGTGTGTTGCATTGCACGATACCAGATACACTACTGTTTTTTGTTTTACACGCAACACACAGTATTGGATTACTGCATGTTTTTCTGCGTTGTAACACACATTGGCCAGGGGGTGTGTTGGGGTTGCAATAAAATAAATGGTAAGGCAACGCACCTAGCGCATGGTAACACACGCTACTTGTGCTGTGTGGTAGAATGTGTTGATCGCACAGTATCGTCTGATTAATGCAAAGCTATGGTTTGATTGGGCCCTTAAAGTTACCTGTGCTACCTGTCCACCTTCAGTGTGTTCATTGGACAATAAATCATCGTCTTCACACTGCTCAGTCATTGTTCAGTTATCAGGCTGGTGACACATGCAGCCATAAAGCTGAAATGTAAAAAATTGTAATGTGAGTAATTAGTGTGACTCACAAAACTGGCTAAACAGTATTGCAGATCATATGGCAGGTAACACTGTGCACGTAAATGTAGTTAAATTGTATATTTAGGGCTTATTTACACCATAATGTGCACCATGACTCGCCTTATGATGTGCGTTAATGCAGTGCATGCTAACTCATTTGTAGCAGAGCTAAAATTGTGTCCACAGGGCATGACTGATGCAAAATCCTGTATATGAATAAAGGAATTAAATGGGTAACAATAATGAAAAATATAAAAGGACATGTAGCCTGATCAGAACTGAACAAAGTTATTTTATATACTATGCTGAAAGGGGCTCAAATTAGATGTCAACATTCATTTTCTGACCTGTGCTCAGTATTGCATTGCTGGTATTTCTAAATTAGCCCTTAATGTGTGTGAACCTATTAGGCAGCCAAAAACTGGCAAAGAAAGTAGGGTAGCCAAAGACTCGGTGAAGTTTGTTTTACCATGGCAATGGTACCCACTCACTGGTTACAACTCATCTGGAATCTGATTGGCTGCTACTGGCAGACATTAGACTTCCTCAATGATACATTATCTGTAATGCACAGTTCCCCAATTCTACTCTGAAGGCCATTTAATAAATAGGGGGGGGAAACATATTTTTTTAGTATCTAGAGCACCTAAAAATGTATCTTTGACATGGTTTATGGCTCTGCAGTCACCAGCTGTGGTACCAGTTTACACTTGGCTTCAGAGTGAGGAATGGTTTCATGGTCCAACTGCCAGTTGGACCATAGGTATAAATCAAGCAACCAGCTTAGATGTCCTTGTCCAGAGGAGACCTGAATCAAGACTGTTTGTTAGGAATGAGAGGTTCTGCAGGGGATGCCCAAAAACAGGCCATGGGGTCTGGCCAAAAAACATTGTATGTTTTGTTTTGGTTTTTAAGCCTGCATACCCTTTTTTTAATTTACCGTTTAATTTTTTTCCATTTTTGTTTTTATCAGGAAAACTTGAGCTTTCCCAGGGTCTTCGTGCTGTTTATACACAAATGCCGCTAATCTGGAAACCAGGTTATTTCCAAAGAGCTTTGGATGTCATGGATAAGGTTTCCCAGATGCCTGGAGAAATCAAGATAACCAAAGATGCAGTAAGTGTGAATTCTTTCTTTACAGGACATTGACATTTCCTTTATTAAAAAATGGGGGGAAAATGCAATAAAGACCATGCCTTGGGACTAAAATGCACCACCCATTGTTAAATAACATTAATTTTTAAAAAATGATATACTTCACCCTAAGGGCCTGACAAGTAAAAGGCAAGGGACTGGCCAGAAGAAGTTGTTCTAGTCGATCGGATAGCATTTGCACAGATCAGGTAAGGCTCTTCTCCAGGAGAACAACTAGGTGAAATATAGATATGTGAACTTTTATTCCAGCCAAAAGATTTGTAATTTTGTTCAGGGTGTCTGATCAGGCACCTCTCCCAGACAGTACAGCTTGGGACCTCACCTTCTTTTGCCATAGCTAGGCATTACAGCCTGGTTTAAGCCCCTCCACAGCCTGCTGACAGATGCACATTGATGAAGTCATCACCTTCTTGTATGCATGTTCAGACAGCGTTGTGCAAACCAGTAGAGTCTGACTGGCTTAGAGTGCTGGCATTCCCTTCTCAGTACTGCTTAGTCCTTAGCTAATAATAAACCCTAATTATTTTGAATTAATAATTTTCAGGCTAAAGAGTGTTTTTTTTTTCCAGTACCTGCATGCAGTTCATATTGATCAGCGTGTTCTACGGTGATTAAACGTATTCTTGGTATTTCTGCTTGGTTGTGTTGTAGCTTCTTGAAGTCTTCAATCCCGTTTTTTGATCCCTGGCTGCTGTTCTGAATTGCGCTAGAGAAGGCAAACTTGGTCTCCTGTACTTTAGTACGCCCCTTCCTAACCAATGAAACCACAAAACTATTCATCCACTCACTTGTTATCTCTCGTCTCGACTATTGAAACTCCCTCCTCATTGGCCGACCACTGCACCGGGTATCCCCCTTTCAGTCCGCCATGAATGCTGCTGCTAGGCTCATCCACCTAACTAACCGCTTAGTATCTGCAACCCCCCTATACCAATCCCTCCACTGGCTTCCAATAGCCCAAAGGATAATATTAACAACCACTTACAAAGCCATACACAACCTACCCCAGCCAGGGTCGTCCCGAGGCTGGGTGACACCCGGAGCGGTAACAGAGTGTCACCCCGCAGAGACGTCACTGCGCAAGATGGCCGGCGGCCATCTTGGTGATGGACACTGGCAGAGAGAGGAGGGGACAGTCACCTGGCGGGATAAGGTATGCCGCCGGGTCCCCTCCTCTCTCCTGATACTGTCGGGCGTTCGGACCATGACCGAGCGCCCGACTTTTCAGAGGGGGGTGACACCAAAATGACTGTGAATCATTTTGGTGTCACCCCTCCAATGGTGTCACCCGGGTGCGGGCCGCACCCCCCTTGTGACGCCACTGACCCCAGCTATATCTCCAACCTCGTCTCAAATTATCACCCTAACCGCCCCTTCAGCTCCTCCCAAGACCTCCTGCTTTCTAGCTCCCTCATCAACTCCTCCCATGCTCGCCTCCAGGACTTCTCCCATCCTTTCAAACTCCTTACCCCAACCTGTCTGTCTATCTCCTACTCTATCTGCCTTTAAGCGATCTCTAAAGACTCAACTGTTCAGGGAAGCCTATCCTACCTCAACCTAACAACTGAACAATCACTTTCTCAAACAATTCATCCCCACACAGCAACCTCCTCATGTATCACTTGCCCCTCCCTTTTAGATTGTAAGCCCTCAGGGGCAGGGCCCTCCCTACCATCTTGTCTTGAATTGTATTGTAACTGTAATGTCCTCCTTGTATTGTAAAGTGCTGCACAAACTGTTGGTGCTATAATAAATCCTGTATGATAATAATAATTCCTGTGCTCTTAGCACATGTTTATGGGCACCTCTTCACTCACACAACACCATGTAGTATTAGATGGCCTGTTTTTAATCTTTGTGTGTCAAGTGAAAACCGCTTGCATTGGTCCATAGTCAATCAAAGCCTTGGTAAAGCAAAATAAGTCCATAAAATATGGGGGCTTTGCATTGTCATGACACTGATCCATATTCAACATAAAAGATGTTCTTAGTAAATACTGTTCTTAGTTTGTGTGTCCCCAAGTTGCTTTGTTTGACTAAGCTAGCCTGGTAGTGACCAGATGATTAGAGCAGAATATTTTGGGCTGTACATTGTCCCAAGGCAGCCCTGCCTGATTCAGATGTTCTCTGGAATGTTGTAGTTGGAGGTTCAACATTTGAACCACTATCAAACCACAAGCAAGACAATGTGTTGGAGTCCAAATATGATCCTTATTCTTCTCTGTTGATTAAAAGTCAAGATCCAATACAGCGCAGCAACAACATTCTAATGAGTTTTGGCTAAATAAGCTTTAAAGTAACAGTAAACTGAGGAGTTAAATCTTAAAAATACATTCAAGTACCTTAACTATTAACAATACTGGACCTTATTTGTGTATCATTCAGCTGTAGATCCTCAAACCTCTCTGGATTGGTGCTGACACTGTCCTTCCTTCTGGAGGGTGGCTACTTTTGTTCCCCATAGTCCCCGTGTGTGTTGTGAAGTAGTGACCTCTCCAAGCTCACTCCCGTGATGGACTACAATCTAATGTTTAGTTTACTAAGTTGTATTGAAATTGTAGTCCATACCAGGAGTGAGCTTGGAGCGGTGGCTACTTTACAACACACACAGGGACCATGGGGAACAAAAGTAGCCACCCTCCAGAAGGAAGGACAGTGTCGGCACCAATTTAGAGATGATTTGAGGATCTACAGCTGAGTGCACAAGAGATACATTTTTGTTAATAGTTAAGGTTCTTGAATGCATTTGTAAGATTTACCTCCCTGAATTTACTGTCACTTTAAAGTGCAACTAAAGCCAAAACATTTTTTTTTTATAGTTCTGGATAGAGAGGTATTAGAAGCCCTGTCAGTTTTATTAATGTCTGTGTCCCAGTTACAGGGATTCACCCTCTCTATTTGTCCTGGGGAAGGTTATCACTGAAAGTGAAAGAAAATCCCAGATTTTGGTCTGGTCACCAGAAAAGGAATAGATGAGAATTATTTCACTGTGAACACTAGTTCTGGTGACTCTGCTAACTACCAGGGTTTTCCCATACTTTATAGGAATTTCCTTCCTGTGTGTATAGGAAGTGTGTGTGTTAGCTAGCATATTTTTGAAAGTTAACTTGTTCTGTCACCCATTGGACAACAAAATATTTTTCCACAAAGTAGACAGTATCTTTAAATGGCATGTGTCTGCATCTGTGAACATACAACTGTCTTTTGGACCAAAGGCTCAACCTTCCAGGCCACAACTTTACACAATATATGAACCAGATACATAGAAATGTTCTTTTCTGATTTGTTCTTCTGTTACTTCCCTATAGGATGTGCAACCTAAACCTGTCATGTAGCGTTGTGCTCACTGTGTCTCATGCCACAGTAATCTTTTAATGCATGTCTGGCGTCCCCAAGGAGAGCAGGCAGTTTTCAAGGCTGAAGTAAAGCAGCACTAGTGTTTTAATCCAGTGATCTCCAAAAAGAAATGAACTCTTAGTTGCATCTTTTGCTGCTTTCAAGCACTCTCTATAGCTCCAATTTCCTTTCCTGTTCTTAAGAAATCCCTCTGGAAATTCAGTCAAACCCACACAGTCATTAGATTTCCTGTTCTGAAGGGATTAACGCTTTCACTTCCTTCATAGAAGAATATCCGTGCAATGCAAAGGCCAGGGTTGGCTTCCTTTTTGTGATTTGATCAGGAAAGACGACGTGTGCTTGATTTTTTAAAATTGAATTAATGTGCATTGCTTTGCATCATAGCCTAGGCAGATTTTCAACTGAATGTCGTGTTTGGCATGTGGAGGAGACACTATCGCCTCCTGAACACTGGGGGCTGCTCCTTTATCGCCCTTTGAAAAGCAATCCATTGCAGATTGCTTTTTAGAGGGGCAGTGGAGCCACCCACCCATCTGAAGTAGGCCTGTATGCCACATGGGGTAGCCCTCTTCCTATCACCATCATCACCTTTGTGTCTTAGTGCAATATGCATGCCTGTGTATCTATTTGTGTGTGTGTGTGTGTGTGTATATATATATATATAAAATTTTTGTTTGTGGTGCTTTTAAAATGCTTTTCTCCTTTTTGGTGATTTCCCCCC